TGGGGGCGTGTGGACGGATGCATCGTGAGGCAACGCAGTTAGCGGGCGGCCAGTCAGCAAACATGAGCCTCAACACAGTTTCGACTTGCTTCTTGCTTGCGTGTCTTCAAGTAGGTGAGTGAGGCAAAGGTCCTTCTCCAAATTTGGTTTTACCACAAGTGTTTTGATGCGGACAGGAGACTAAACATTTCAAATGAAATTTAGAGAAAGTTCGCAATTTCATTTTCTTACAGACACCAAAGGCGATTCGATTTTGCTGGCCCAAAAAAAAAGGAACCGGTGGAATGCTTTGGTTAATTCGGTGACGAACCTTCGGGTACCCTAAGCCATCTAGTTAGTTGCTGACACCAAAAGCTTCTTTATTATATAATATTATAAATAGTTTACGAACTTTATATTAAGATACAATAATATTATCTACACGTAAACCAACATTCTTTTAAAAGAATGCTCTTATAATTTAAATTAAAGCCCTTTATAGGGTTAATCAGTATCTACCTACAGTACTGGTTATCTATCTGTAGCGGAAATTTTTCGATATTTAGGCCAATAGGGTGCTCCAGTATAAAAGGTGATTCTTAATTACATACAACAATTTTAGGGATAACGTTCTACTTCTAAAATCAAGCCAAAACGTTTCTGTAAATGTATGATCAGAACCGCTTTGTTAGCTAGATATGAGAACGTCTAGTACCAGGAAAATTTCTCCTTACGCATTTAAATTAAACATAGAAACGTTTGTAAACATGAAGACGCTGTCATGTTTAAGTCTAATTAATAAATGCTCTCCTAAAATGCCGGTACAACGTTAATTGTTTCATTTTATTTTATAATTCTCACTGTTCATGTCTATAACGTCGATACTCGATCGTTTCCTTCCACATCCTCTTTAATTCACCAGTCACAATAATCATGCAATTCGAAACTACTGGAAATATGCAGATGAAAAACGATGGTTGATTAAGCTGTAAAGATGGAGGGCTGTGTTCTTTTTCTTCCAAACATTGGTATGTGCTGATAAGTCTACACACTGCCTAAACCCAGAAGATTATCAGCCTAAATGTGTTGAATAATTCTTTTATAATAAAGTGGAGAGACCGTGGCTTGAAATCGTAGACCCCATGACGAAAGTGGTTTTATTATAACGTAAACCGCTGTACTTTCTGTGTGCTTCTAATTTATCGTTAGTATCCTTGAACAGGGAGCTATGGGTCAGACTGTAGGACTTCGAAGCCCGATTCTGAACTGTCTCGGCTGAAGAAACAGCTCTCTTGCGGTTATAGCATCAGTACGGCGCCACAGGCCGGCCAGAACAGCAGCACCCTGGTTCACCTTTACCTAGTCCTGCGTCGTTTCACGTTTGTAAGCCAATTTTACATTGCTAACACTTGTTTGCGAGATACAGTCACGGGACATCTAACGCACATGGTGGGGATGAAGGAAAAATCCAACATCTGGCCAGTATTAATTATCAAATGTTGAATCTTAAACGAATTATGTTATTTCAGAACGAGGAGTTCGAGATAATACACGTGTACTATGGGGCTTATATGGTAAGTGGGAATATATTGATTTGTAATTATCTTGCTATAAATGAATCGATTATTTAATGAATAGAGTGCTGAATAATCACGTCTCCTTTTAAAATAAACACCATCATACATCTTAAAAAATATGCTCTTGGTAAGAACTGCAGAAAATTCTGAGTAAGTTTTTCAAAATAATGCCATCTGTCTGTCCGTGTAGGGTAATGAGACAGGCTTGTTTCCTTTATTTATCTACTATTTGAGAGGAAAACGGAGTTTTGGTGTACGTATATCAGCTTTTTCTGTTTTGTGTTTTCCTGATTAGCTAGCGCTAGAACCAAGTGCTTTGCGACGAGCTGATCCCCTGTTTAGGGCATTATTTCAACCTTTAAAGTATTCATTATTTTTTGTCCTTATTAACCTGAATAGGCCGGGAGGGGGCTAATCTGTGATAGATGTAGAAGGATTGTAATAAGTGTCTGATCTTAATGCAGGTGTGGATGGACGTGCGTCTGAAGTGGGACCCTTCAGAATTTGGAAACATCAAGGAGCTTTATACCAACAGTAGTCTCATATGGACTCCTAAGTTTGGATGGGTAAACATGTGGGTTTTGCGAGATAAATTACGGTTAAGATATCTGTTGGATATCACACCACGTACTTAAAAGAATGTAGACCTCATGATCTGCCACTTTGTAGTAGACTTTTTTCGATAATGTTTTTTTAACGAAATAATAAAAATTATTGTCTGATTATGTAGTGTATCTGTAGTCCGAAGAAATAAGTTTACGTCTGTTTAATTACGAAATGGTGGTTGGTTATCATTTGCTGCTGAGGAATTGTACTTTATGGGATCATATTTTTTAATTAGTGTGTTGCCGTAGTAATGCCGTTAACGGATTCTGGGCCTTCTGGGATATTTATGACATTCTTGACAGGTAATATACTAGTCTAGGTATAAGGAATAAATGAATACATTAATGTAAATCACAGTGGAATATACAGAATCATAAATAACGCCTTTAACATCTCTTGCTTTTAATAAATAATGATAATTACGTTACAGAAACGCAGACATTGACAGCTTGCTCAAGGGGATGGCTCATTGCCTTCTGAGGTGGAGCGGCTATGTGATGTGTATCTCGTGGTCTTCGATCCACACAATTTGCCAGACTGACATCACACACTGGCCTTATGACTCGCAAGTGTGTGAGGCACAGCTGGCCCCTTGGAAACTGCAACACGAAGAGCTGGAACTTCTTGTCGATGGCAACATGGTGGGTTAATGGTATTTCAAGGGGCCACGTGCCAGAAACTCATGAATTAACGACAGAAGAGACACGAGATCCACAGAAAATGTGACATATTGTTTCTTCTCACCAGTACTTAAACGCACATGCCAAACGATAACGCTGTAATCCAATGTTTGGCACAAACTAGGTTTGGATCTATATTGGATTACCAACTATTCTGAATAAGGTTCTTTGATGTTTTCCTAAGTTTTTTTCAAAGTACATATCCAAATAGTTCTTTGAAAAACGCCCAGGCGTCTTCCTTGAAAATCTTTCTTTATTTATTTTATTTGTCTATTACAACCTTTGCAGTGGAAACAGAGTGTTCGAGCAACTTGATAATCGAACTCCGCGGTCTAATGATTAGCGCTGCAGTTTCGTAATCGGGATGTCCTGAGTTTGAGTTAAAATCTCGCCTTTGAGACCAGCTGTCCCGACTGAGACTTCTCGTGATTTTCCTCAGTGCCTATAGAAAATGACGGGATAGCAGCCTACTTTAAATTAGGTTACAATCACTTTCTTCCATATTCTTCCGATTCATTAATGCAACGTCGTATTTTTCTGAATTTCGTGTAAATACCGTCATTTTATGTATTATTGGTGTCTTCCATTGAAGTTTTGCGGCAATTATTTAGGCTAAATTTATAAACCACTCCTACGCATTGAATGCCCCGCACGTCTCATTAATATTAATTTAATAACATTAACGATATTATATCAAAAATACAAATTATAAAGCTCTTTAGCGTATAATTATCTCCACTTCCCTGTTGCTTCCTATTTCTTAGGTTGACGTATTTCCCTTAGCATATTATTCTGAAATAACTTTTAATATGTCTTTTTCCAGACTGAGAGATAAATTTTCGCACTCAAATTTTCAGTTAAAGTTAAACTGTTCAATGGCGCGGTTATGATCGGCAAACATTATTAGGGAATTTTCTAGTAGCTAAGAATAACTTTATGTAACGGACCGCACACGTAAGGCTCATCGTTGCTTGAATGTACGTACAGAGGGACTTTTTGAAAGGTATAAATTACAGAGTTTAATGCCTTTAACTTTTAAATGGCAGGCAATGGCCATATGCTAACAGGGTATCCGTCTAACAAATCTTAGAATGATATTCATTTCTGATCAAACTGATATTCCAGGTTCTTATGACGGCAGGTAAGAAGATGTCTGTCTTCTGAGATGTCGAGGCCGCGTATCTCGTGAAAATTGAGCGAATTTCAGAGGTGCTTACTGCCTCCATCATCAGGGCGATTGTGATGGAATCAGTAAGTACCTCTGAAACGTCGGCGTACTATTTCAGAAGACAGTCATCTTCGTGATTTAACTACGTTACAGCG